CAGGGACAGACACAGAATTGTTACTGAGGGACACAGAATTGTTACTGAGGGACACAGAATTGTTACTGAGGGACACAGAATTGTTACTCAGGGACAGACACAGAATTGTTACTCAGGGACAGACACAGAATTGTTACTCAGGGACAGACACAGAATTGTTACTCAGGGACAGACACAGAATTGTTACTGAGGGACACAGAATTGTTACTGAGGGACACAGAATTGTTACTCAGGGACAGACACAGAATTGTTACTCAGGGGACAGACACAGAATTGTTACTGAGGGACACAGAATTGTTACTGAGGGACACAGAATTGTTACTCAGGGACACACAGAATTGTTACTCAGGGACAGACACAGAATTGTTACTGAGGGACACAGAATTGTTACTGAGGGACACAGAATTGTTACTCAGGGACAGACACAGAATTGTTACTCAGGGACAGACACAGAATTGTTACTCAGGGACAGACACAGAATTGTTACTGAGGGACACAGAATTGTTACTCAGGGACACACAGAATTGTTACTCAGGGACACAGAACACAGAATTGTTACTCAGGGACAGACACAGAATTGTTACTCAGGGACACAGAATTGTTACTCAGGGACACAGAATTGTTACTGAGGGACACAGAATTGTTACTCAGGGACACAGAATTGTTACTCAGGGACAGACAGAAATTGTTACTGAGGGACACAGAATTGTTACTGAGGGACACAGAATTGTTACTCAGGGGACACAGAATTGTTACTCAGGACACAGAATTGTTACTCAGGGACAGACACAGAATTGTTACTCAGGGACACAGAATTGTTACTGAGGGACACAGAATTGTTACTGAGGGACACAGAATTGTTACTCAGGGACACACAGAATTGTTACTCAGGGACAGACACAGAATTGTTACTCAGGGACACAGAATTGTTACTGAGGGACACAGAATTGTTACTGAGGGACACAGAATTGTTACAGGGACACAGAATTGTTACTCAGGGACACAGAATTGTTACTCAGGGACAGAATTGTTACTCAGGGACACAGAATTGTTACTCAGGGACACAGAATCGTTGAATTAAAGAGTATGTCAGACAACATGCAGAGGAGTGGCAGAGGAGGCAATGTTTTAGGAGCGAGCAGATGTGGCAGCAGAGGAAGGGGTCGAGGCAGCACTAGTCGCAGCCAGAGGCCAGTGCTCCCGGTGTCATCCAGCGGTCGTGTCTCCACCGACAACCCTGCCGTCATCGATTGGTTGGCTCGGTCGTCTTCCTCTTCCCAGGTCACCTCTGACACCTACAGCCAACGGTCGGTGGGTACGTCAGACACAACCGTTAGTTGGCATGGCCCGGGAGCAAGCCCACTGAAATCACGTGTGTCCTCTACCTGCCCCCTGTCCTTTGGTGTTCCCTCACCAAGCGAAGTATCGCATGCTGTGGGCTCAGCCCCACTGTACAGTGAGGAAGAGCTAACAGAGGGCGGTCAGGAACGGGGGGAGAGACATCCGCCTCTTCAGCAGCCAGGCGAAGAAGTACTGGCGAGGAGAGTGGCTCGGTAGCCGGTCTAGAGACAGGTCTGTCTCCTGACCCACACACGCAGCCGAGGGGGCTAGTAGTGAGGCGGAGACCCTAATTGATGATGATGAGGCTGATCGCACTTGGCAGCCTCGTCGTCATCAGGCTATTGCTTCCGCATCATCAGGAGAAGAGGGTGGCAGCTTGGCAGCGAGCAAAACAGTCGGTGGGTTGCCCAGGAGGCAGCAGGGTCGCAGCAGTGTCAGTGGAGGCAAACGGCCACGGAGTAGAGCACCAGCTCCACTGCAGCCTACCACCACGGCCAGTAGTGGTGCCGGTGTGCACGGAGGAAGTAGCAGTCAGCCAGTGAGGAGTATCGGGGGCAAAGTTTCCTACTCGGCGGTGTGGCAATTTTTCGTCAAGCCGCCCGAGGAAGTAAAAACGTAGCCGTATGTCGACTATGTGGCCAGAAAGTCAAGCGTGGCCAGGGGGCCCATGTTGGGACTACAGCGTTGCGTCAGCATATGCAGCGTCGCCATTTGGTGGCCTGGGAAAACCGTGATAAAGATACGGCGGTTCTGCCTGCCCCAGCCCCCGCTCCATCACCCGCTCCGTTACTTGCTCCGTCACCCGACGTCAATCGCCCTCTATCAGCCAGTCAAGGCTCCAACACCTCTGCTGAGGGGAGTTGTCGCTCGTTGGCATCTTCCGCTCGTTCAGATGCTCCTTCTCCTGCTACTCCTCTTCACGGATTCCGTCAGCAGTCTTTCTTGGAATCCGTTTCCAAGAGACAACAGTTTGCGAGCACGCACCCGACGGTGCAAAAGCTGAACGTCCTCCTGTCCAAGTTGCTGGTGCTGCAGTCCCTCCCTTTCCAAGTGGTGGACTCAGCACCTTTCCGAGAAATGATGGCTTGTGCCGCGCCGCGGTGGAGAGTGCCAAGCCGTCATTTCTTCGCCAAAAAGGCAGTGCCAGCCCTGCATTCACATGTAGAAGAGATGGTGGGCCAGTCTTTGAGCATGTCGGTCTCTGCCAAAGTGCACGGCAGCGCCGACGTGTGGAGCTGTAACTACGGTCAGGGACAGTACATGTCATTTACGGCCCACTGGGTGAACGTGGTGCCGGCACAGCCGCACCAGCAACTTGGACAGGTCACGCCGCTTTTGCCTCCACGTTTGCACGTCCTTGGTCCACAAAAGATGTCCGCCTCTACCACCTCTTCTTCCGCCGTGTCCTCAGCCGCCACCCCCCGTGCCAAGTCCCATTACCCGACCGGCATATCACATGTGCAGGGCGCAACGGTGTCACGCTGTGCTGCACCTGGTATGCCTTGGCGAACGTAGTCACACAGGGGAGGAACTTCTGAGTGTAATGAACAGAGAAATCGACAGATGGCTGTCTCCGCGCAAACTGAAAATCGGAACCATGTTGACCGACAACGGAAAGAACATGGTGTCTGCTCTGCGTCAAGGAAGGTTGTGCCATGCGCCATGCATGGCTCACGTGTTCAATCTGGTTGTCAAGCGGTTCCTAAAATCCACCATCCCACTGCAAGACATCCTTAAAATGTCACGTAAACTTTGCATGCATTTCAGCCATTCCTACACCGCAAAGCACACCCTCCTTGAGCTGCAGCGGCAGAACGGAATTCCACAGCATCGCCTGATCTGCGACGTTGCAACAAGGTGGAATTCAACCCTACACATGTTAGACCGCCTTTACGAACAGCGAAAGGCCATCACCGATTTCCTGATGTTACAAGCGGATAAAGGTTACTCCCCTGTGTAACTTCGATGTCAGCCATTGGCAGCTCATGCGTGACACCTGCCGCTTGCTCAGGCCCTTTGAGGAGGCCACGCTATTCGTGAGTCGGCAGGACTATGGGATGAACGACGTCATTCCTCTGTTGCACGTCCTGGAACAAATGCTGTTAACAATGGCTGGTCAGGGTGCGGTAGACGTGGCGCACAGATCTCAACGCCACATGACCCCTGTGGGGGCAGGACAGGAAGAAGAGGAGGAGGTAGAGGAGGACATTTTGCTCAGGAATTATTGAGTGAAATGGGTGGTTTTTTCCACTCAGCGGACAGGAGTGGAGGAGCAGGAGCATCTGGTAGAGGAGGAGGAGGAGGAGACAGAGGACCCAGACGCACCGTGGCAGTATGCTGTGGAGATGGAGGCAGGGAGTCCCTCGCATTCCTTGGCACAAATGGCCCATAGCATGCTCGGTTGCTTGCGTAGCGACAGCCGAATAATAAAACCATCAGACAGAGGGATGACTTTTGGCTGTCCACCTTGTTGGACCCTCGCTACCGTTCAAAAATGGTGGCCTTTTTCACACCTGCTGAGAGGGAGGCCAAAATAACGTACTATAAAAACCACCTATGTAGTCAGTTGGTCTCTGCCTTTCTGCGCCAACGTCCATCCTCAGACACTGTGGGCCCTGTGCGCTCGCGTTCCGCTGCCATGGCAGCAGGGGAGGGGTGGGGTGGTAGGAGCAGTGGCAGCTCCACCAGCAGCGGCTGCCTCAGTCTGCAGTCGATGATGAGTAGCTTTCTTCACCAGCGCAGTGAGGAAACTACTAACCAGCCGCAGCAGCAGCAGCATCAGGTGGACCTGGAGCAGGACCTCAAACAACAGGCTTGGGCCTACTTGGACAGCACCCTGCCAACCGAGGTAGACAATCCCCTTGACTACTGGGCAACGAAACTTGACCTTTGGCCCCAACTAGCTGAATTTGCCCTTGAAAGGCTGTCATGCCCGGCCAGTAGCGTGGCATCGGAGCGCGTGTTTAGTGCGGCAGGAGGTATTGTAACTCCGCGGAGGACACGACTGTCCACCCAAAGTGTGGAGAGACTCACGTTTGTGAAAATGAATCAGGCGTGGATTAGTCTGGATTTCAAACCACCAGTTCCTGACACAACTGACTAAATCCGCCATGAATCATGCCCCAAACATGTGCCACTTTCAGGTCTCCTCACACTGCTGGTGTGTTCCATTTTTTGTCATAGGGTGCTGGCAGATTACGGGCCTCCCATTGCTGCTGCCAGGCCCCTGTAATCTGCCATGGGCCCCTGTACCGCCTCCTCATGCTGCTGCCAGGTCCAGAGTCTCTCATGGGTCCCTGTACGGCCTCCCATTGCTGCTGTCTCCATCGCCACACTCTGCCATGTGCCACTTTTCAGGTCTCCTCACACTGCTGGTGTGTTCCATTTTTGTCATAGGGTGCTGGCAGATTACGGGCCTCCCATTGCTGCTGCTAGGCCCGTAATCTGCCATGGGCCCCGTACCGCCTCCTCATGCTGCTGCCAGGTCCAGAGTGTGTCATGGGTCCCTGTACGGCCTCCCATTGCTGCTGTCTCCATCGCCACACTCTGCCATGTGCCACTTTCAGGTCTCCTCACACTGCTGGTGTGTTCCATTTTTTGTCATAGGGTGCTGGCAGATTACGGGCCTCCCATTGCTGCTGCCAGGCCCGTAATCTGCCATGGGCCCCTGTACCGCCTCCTCATGCTGCTGCCAGGTCCAGAGTCTCTCATGGGTCCCTGTACGGCCTCCCATTGCTGCTGTCTCCATCGCCACACTCTGCCATGTGCCACTTTCAGGTCTCCTCACACTGCTGGTGGTGTTCCATTTTTTGTCATAGGGTGCTGGCAGATTACGGGCCTCCCATTGCTGCTGCCAGGCCCGTAATCTGCCATGGGCCCCTGTACCGCCTCCTCATGCTGCTGGCCAGGTCCAGAGTGTCTCATGGGTCCCTGTACGGCCTCCCATTGCTGCTGTCTCCATCGCCACACTCTGCCATGTGCCACTTTCAGGTCTCCCTCACACTGCTGGTGTGTTCCATTTTTTGTCATAGGGTGCTGGCAGATTACGGGCCTCCCATTGCTGCTGCCAGGCCCGTAATCTGCCATGGGCCCCTGTACCGCCTCCTCATGCTGCTGCCAGGTCCAGAGTGTCTCATGGGTCCCTGTACGGCCTCCCATTGCTGCTGTCTCCATCGCCACACTCTGCCATGTGCCACTTTCAGGTCTCCTCACACTGCTGGTGTGTTCCATTTTTTGTCATAGGGTGCTGGCAGATTACGGGCCTCCCATTGCTGCTGCCAGGCCCGTAATCTGCCATGGGCCCCTGTACCGCCTCCTCATGCTGCTGCCAGGTCCAGAGTCTCTCATGGGTCCCTGTACGGCCTCCCATTGCTGCTGTCTCCATCGCCACACTCTGCCATGTGCCACTTTCAGGTCTCCTCACACTGCTGGTGTGTTCCATTTTTTGTCATAGGGTGCTGGCAGATTACGGGCCTCCCATTGCTGCTGCCAGGCCCGTAATCTGCCATGGGCCCCTGTACCGCCTCCTCATGCTGCTGCCAGGTCCAGAGTCTCTCATGGGTCCCTGTACGGCCTCCCATTGCTGCTGCTGTCTCCATCGCCACACTCTGCCATGTGCCACTTTCAGGTCTCCTCACACTGCTGGTGTGTTCCATTTTTTGTCATAGGGTGCTGGCAGATTACGGGCCTCCCATTGCTGCTGCCAGGCCCGTAATCTGCCATGGGCCCCAGTACCGCCTCCTCATGCTGCTGCTGCCAGGTCCAGAGTGTGTCATGGGTCCCTGTACGGCCTCCCATTGCTGCTGTCTCCATCGCCACACTCTGCCATGTGCCACTTTCAGGTCTCCTCACACTGCTGGTGTGTTCCATTTTTTGTCATAGGGTGCTGGCAGATTACGGGCCTCCCATTGCTGCTGCCAGGCCCGTAATCTGCCATGGGCCCCCGTACCGACTCCTCATGCTGTGACGTTGCAACAAGGTGGAATTCAACCCTACATATGTTAGACCGCCTTTACGAACAGCGAAAGGCCATCACAGATTTCCTGATGTTACAAGCGGATTTCAGGTACTCCCTGTGTAACTTAGATGTCAGCCATTGGCAGCTCATGCGTGACACCTGCCGCTTGCTCAGGGCCCTTTGAGGAGGCCACGCTATTCGTGAGTCGGCAGGACTATGGGATGAACGACGTCATTCCTCTGTTGCACGTCCTGGAACAAATGCTGTTAACAATGGCTGGTCAGGGTGCGGTAGACGTGGCGCACAGATCTCAACGCCACATGACCCCTGTGGGGGCAGGACAGGAAGAAGAGGAGGAGGTAGAGGAGGACATTGGTGCTCAGGAATTATTGAGTGAAATGGGTGGTTTTTCCACTCAGCGGACAGGAGTGGAGGAGCAGGTGGTCTCCTAAATCATCTGGTAGAGGAGGAGGAGGAGGAGACAGAGGACCCAGACGCACCGTGGCAGTATGCTGTGGAGATGGAGGCAGGGAGTCCCTCGAATTCCTTGGCACAAATGGCCCATAGCATGCTCGGTTGCTTGCGTAGCGACAGCCCGAAATAATAACCATCAGACAGAGGATGACTTTTGGCTGTCCACCTTGTTGGACCCTCGCTACCGTTCAAAAATGGTGGCCTTTTTCACACCTGCTGAGAGGGAGGCCAAAATAAAGTACTATAAAAACCACTATGTAGTCAGCTGGTCTCTGTCTTTTGCTGCGCCAAAGTCCATCCTCAGACACTGTGGGCCCTGTGCCGCTCGCGTTCCGCTGCCATGGCAGGCAGCAGGGGAGGGGTGGGGTGGTAGGAGCAAGTGGCTGCTCCACCAGCAGCGGCTGCCTCAGTCTGCAGTCGATGATGAGTAGCTTTCTTCACCAGCGCAGTGAGGAAACTACTAACCAGCCGCAGCAGCAGCAGCAGCAGCATCAGGTGGACCTGGAGCAGGACCTCAAACTGGTTGCCAGGCTTGGGCCTACTTGGACAGCACCCTGCCAACCGAGGTAGACATTCCCCTTGACTACTGGGGCAACGAAACTTGACCTTTGGCCCCAACTAGCTGAATTGCCCTTGAAAGGCTGTCATGCCCGGCCAGTAGCGTGGCATCGGAGTGCGTGTTTAGTGCGGCAGGAGGTATTTTCATCTTGCTGAGAGCCCCTGGAGGCCAAAATAAAGTACTATAAAAACCACCTATATGTCAGTGGTCCTGAGTCTTTCTGCGCCAAGTCCATCTCAGTATTGTGGGCAGTGCGCTCGCGTTCCGCTGCATGGCTCTGCAGGGGGGGTGGGGAGGTGGTGCTGCCTCAGGGAAGCTGCGCTCCAAACAGCAGCGGTGCTGAGTCGATGATGAGTAGCTTTTGTTCATAGGCAGTGAGGAAAACTACTAACAGCCGCAGGCAGCAGCAGCAGCGGTGGACCTGGAGCAGGCCTCAAACAACAGCCATTGGGCCTACTTGGACAGCACTGCCAACCAGAGTGTTCTTGACTATGGGTCCCTGTAACGAAACTTGACCTTTGCTGTCCCAACTCGCTGAACTTTGCCTTGAAAGGCTGTCATGCCCGGCCTTTCAGGTCGCGTGGCATCGGAAGTGCGTTCCATTTAGTGCATTAGAGGAGGTATTGTAACTCCTATTTGCTGGAGGACACGACTGTCCACCCAAAGTGTGGAGAGACTCACGTTTGTGAAAATGAATCAGGCGTGGATTAGTCTGGATTTCAAACCACCAGTTCCTGACACAACTGACTAAATCCGCCATGAATCATGCCCCAAACATGTGCCACTTTCAGGTCTCCTCACACTGCTGGTGGGTTTCATTTTGTCATAGGGTGCTGGCAGATTACGGGCCTCCCATTGCTGCTGCCAGGCCCGTAATCTGCCATGGGCCCCTGTACCGCCTCCTCATGCTGCTGCCAGGTCCAGAGTCTCTCATGGGTCCCTGTACGGCCTCCCATTGCTGCTGTCTCCATCGCCACACTCTGCCATGTGCCACTTTCAGGTCTCCTCACACTGCTGGTGTGTTCCATTTTGTCATAGGGTGCTGGCAGATTACGCGCCTCCCATTGCTGCTGCCAGGCCCGTAATCTGCCATGGGCCCCTGTACCGCCTCCTAATGCTGCTGCCAGGTCCAGAGTCTCTCATGGGTCCCTGTACGGCCTCCCATTGCTGCTGTCTCCATCGCCACACTCTGCCATGTGCCACTTTCAGGTCTCCTCACACTGCTGGTGGGTTCCATTTTTGTCATAGGGTGCTGTATGGCCTCCCATTGCTGCTGCCTCCACCGCCACACTGTGGCTCCACACTCTGGTTTTGGCCCCGTGACTGCCCAAATGAGTGAAGTGTGCGGTGATTCTAAGATCGACGGCACTCATCAGCATGTCATACTGACTGACAGTATTATTTCTCTTCCCCAGCAGACTCCAAGGGCATTTAAATTAAAGGTACAGTGTTCTGCACTAATATAAAGGCTCTCTGAAGCCTAGAAACACCCTTTTATAAGTTAAAATCGCAGCGAATATATTCGCATCGAATCGAATTTATTCCTCGAATTCGCCGAATCAGCCGAATCGAATTTTTGAATACTTCGCTCATCTCTAATAGAAACCAATCAACTTCCAGGTTTTATTGCCAAAGCTTAATTGAACAAGCTGAGGTTAGAAGCTAATTGGTGTCTATGCAGAAATGAGCCTGATTTTGCACTCTCCAGCTTTAGTAAATAAACCCTAGCGTGTCCATATTCCATGCGATCATGAGCTGCAGTTGCAGAGTCCCACACTGACACCAAAGCTACAAGAATGATAGGGAGACAATTACACCAGAAGGAAAGCTTCTTCCCCACCAGAGGCATGACTAATTGGGGCACAGACAGGCTAGACCCCAGCTTCATAGAAAGGAAAAACATCAGCAAGGTCTTGCAAGTACTGGACTGGAATGAGGAGCTGGACAGAACAGAGAGGGACTCAGGTAGGCAGTGATGGACCCAACAGGGGGACACAGCTGAAGATCTGACTATTCAGCATCCACCTGCTGCCAATGATGAGCGCTGTCACCACCGCTTCTATTTGCAGTTGGTCAAACTTTGTTAGAGATTAATCTCCTTGTGAGCATCATAGTAAAACAACAGTGGGGGTAGGAGGGTAGAGGACAGGAGGAATAAAGGATATTTCTTGTGAGACTTCTTCTTTAAGTAGGTGCAAGAGAGAAGCAAGAAGGGTATGATGGGGGCAGTATGAGCAGAATAGGAGTATGGTGAATAGGACAATGAGCATCATGTACAGAAGAGAAGGGTGGAGGGTAGAACTGGGGACAGTATTTGTAAGGGTAGTGTAGATTGTATGACAGCAAACAGTATGTACAGGTGAGAAGTACAAAGCATATGACAGTAGGTATATAAGTATATTCAGAAAGAGGATTGCAGGTGTTAGTGTACATGCCTGGTGAATGAGCACTGTGGAGATAATGCACATTGGCTAAGAACTGGCTGGGTGCTCAAAAGGTTATCACATATGTGCAGAGAAATAGAGTCAAAGGGCACCATAGTAGGACTTGGCACTACAGGCTAATTCTTATATGCTGGGGAAAGATTACTTAGGGGCTAATTCACACACAAAATTCATCACTAAAGGGTTGGAGGACATGCTTTGAAGCAGATCGTATACACTGCTAGCAGCTGTTGACTGCAAGGTTAATCCACATAAACTGCAAATTGGTCAGTGATGCTCATACTCTGTTGGTGTAAGTCCTCATGCATACTGGATGTTTTTACAGCTGCTGTTTTTGGCTTTTGATGTTTTTTTCTACAGCCAATAAATTCCCCAGTATGTTATCCTATATGTCCATGCCCACATAGACTATAATCAACGTTTTTTGGCTGGAAAAAGAACCCAGGACTAGTGGGTTTCTAGAGGAGTGTTTTAGCTGTAAAAATTCTCTAATGCTGAAAAATGCAGTAAAACACTGCAAACCGACATTATTGGATGTTTTTTAGACCAAGAAAAACCGCAAAAAAACACAAATGTGCTGGCAAAAGGATACAGAGGAAAGACCAACATGTCTCCACACAATTCGGGATTACACAATGGGAAGCAATGAGAACATTTACTTCCATGGCCAGTCAGAGACTGATGCTGAACTGAGCCACACTCTGTGTGCTGAAGCTCACTGTACAAGGTCTATGGGGAGGGCATGGACAGTCTTCATTCAATATGCAGTTTGTGTTGGGAGTGTGATTGCAGCCTGGAAGAGAAACCAGAGAGTGTGTGCTAGAGGAGGATTACAGAAGAAAGACTAAAGACCAATGTGATTTGCACAGTAGCAAACTTAAAGCAGAACTTTATTATACATATATATATGAATTTGCATAATATTTATATACACCGACTGCGGACACAGTACAGGAGATGACCAGAGACTGCAGACAGTACAGGGGATGACCAGAGACTGCAGACAGTACAGGGGATGACCAAGAGACTGCGGACACAGTACAGGGGATGACCAGAGACTGCAGACAGTACAGGGGATGACCAGAGACTGCAGACAGTACAGGGGATGACCAAGAGACTGCAGACAGTACAGGGGATGAGCAAGAGACTGCAGACAGTACAGGAGATGACCAAGAGACTGCGGACCTTTGGGGAGGGAGGGGGAGTGGGTACCTGAATTGACTCCCACTTCCACGGAGTT